CGTAGATGCCCATTTTCTTTGGTAACTTACTGTATATTTTGCATCGGCCTGTATGACTTTTCTTTTCAACACTGGTGTGTGTGCAGGACAAGGCCATCTCTGTCCGGGAGCTTCAGCAGATGCTCAATGGCGTTCTCAGCAGACGTAAGTAAATGTTTTAGATGCTGTAAAACCTCTTTATGTCAGTGCTTCATGTAAAATGAACAAATGCTGGTAAAGTTGACATGGATGAAGTTCCACAAGTGATATCAGCAAACGCACGATGTATTATCACAGCTTATGCAGATGATACGCGATTATACCGTTCACTGTTTCCTCAGAACATAAGTGTTTCAGATTCACTGCTCAGCTCAATAAAAGACATCGGTCTCTGGAGATCATGAAGCTTTCTGCTGTTAAAGAGAGCAAGGACTAGAGAAGTGTGTAGAATCTAGAGTAGAAGTTACTGGTTCTCTCATTTAGGGTCTTATTGTTAAAAACTTCAGTTGTGGTGGCGAGAGAAGATCTCGTGTGGCGTTCACATTTAATCATAGGGATCCTACATTATTACTGTTATTTAATCAGGAATGGATGATTGTGTCTGTAAAAAGGATGACATTACAAATAGCAGTAAACAGAGGATTAAAATAATAAAATAAAGCATAACTATTTTTAGTCTCTGCTTTAGTTTATCAGACATAGTTATTTCGTTGAATTGTATTCTACTGTTTTAATCCTTTGTCCTCAGGAAAAGAGATCAAATTTGACGGCCTGAGTCTCAGCACCTGCCACAGTATCATCAACCTGATGGACGTATCCTTACACACTTCACCGAATGACTCACTTCAGGCTTGTGATTTCAGGATGTATTTATAAACTTCACTTTGCCTTTCTTTTTTTTTGCTTAAGTTAGAGGTTAAGAGTTTGAAGAAAATGCACTGTAAAACATCACACAGGAATTTAGTGGAATCAACTCACCTTTTTTCATCAACTTAACCTAAATATGTAAGTTTTATTAAATTTCAAGTCAATTCAACTTAAAATTTCTAGTGTTTATGTTCAGACCATTAGGAACGTGAGTTCTCCGTACTTTGCATTCATCTCTTTCAGAGACAAACAAAATATTCATGGTGGAAACTTTCTGTGTCTGTAATGTAAGATTCAACTTGATATCTGAAGTTTAATGAACTTGTTTTAACAAGTTCATTAAACTTCAAAAGCGACTATAATTATTCCACCTAAGTTCAGTTCTCTCACATTTTTAAGGCAGCAGAGGAACTTGTGCTTTTATGTTGAACCAGCTTGATTGACGGTGTATGATTTTAAAATAGCTGATAAGTTGATTGCAATGAGGCTTTTGAAGTTTTTCCTTGATGCAGTAAACCAGGTGGACAACACAGGGAAGCTGGAGTTCCAAGAGTTCAAGGTGTTCTGGGAGAAGATGAAGAAGTGGATTGTACGTGTTGGTTCATGTGGTAAAACTGTAAATCAGCTCTGATGGTGAACGTTTAGAGAGTGTGGTTCAACTTCTGATGTTGTTGTTGTTGTTGTTGCAGATGCTCTTCCTGTCCTTTGACACCGACCGGTCGGGGAAGATGTCGTCCTACGAGCTTCGCATCGCTCTCAAAGCTGCAGGTGAGTCGACTGAAAACTTAAGTTTAAACCTTGTGCAGAAATATTAACACGCTTTATCTTTGCAACTGTTTTTTTTATATTTTCATTTCATTTTATTTGCATTGGCAGACATATCATATAAGACTATTTTCATGTATTAATACATTCATGCACAGGACATGTATTGTTTATAAATGAAGATTTAATATACTAATATTTGTTTAACATATTGTACATATACTTGCAGTGCATTCTCAAATACACCAGTTAGAATACCATGTTTAATACACTGTAAAAGATATTTTCCATGTTTTTTCCATATATTTAAGAATACAAGAAAAAATATTATATCATTATATTTAAACAAATTCCTAAACAAAAATTAAAAACTACAGTTAATATCAGTATTAAATCTAAGTGCAAATTGTAAATATATCAGATTTTTCAGTTTCACATGTGATTGTGAAGCAGTTACTTCTCCTTTCATTATTGTTTATTCTAACATTGGTGAAAATAGTAAAGGTACTTGTTGAAGTGTTAGCAGAGGCTGGACTAGTGGTAGTAAAGGTGATAAAAACAGTCTTGCAAGAACTAACAATGGTAGTAACAGCAACAGCACTACAGCCAATAAAAATAATATTGATTGGTTTTTGGAAGTGATTTGTGGTTTGGGCGTAGATCTTGTGTACGGTGGCATTTGTGTTTGAAGGCTAACGGTGCAGCTTTGTTCCCGTGAAGGCATGCAACTGAACAACCAGCTCCTGCAGCTGGTCGGCTTGAGGTTTGCTGACGACAAGTACGACATCGACTTTGACGACTACCTCACCTGCATCGTCCGTCTGGAGAACATGTTCAGTACGTCGAAAAACGTTCAAATAAATTCCTCCCCTAGGTTTACAGTAACTACATTAGTGCCTCAAAATCATCATAGTAAAGATTCATTGGTGTTAAATTGTCTCTCTCTTAACCAGGAGCTTTTCAGGCTGTGGACAAATTCAAGAGGGGCCGAGTGAGAATGAACATGATGCAGGTAAAACCACATTCACGTCACACCTGACTCCTGCTGATTGTCTGGTTGAACCCAGTGTAGCTTGTAATGTTGTAGAGCTTATTTTAACTGCACTTTATTTTCTTTTAACCGTACACAGTTCCTGATGTTGTCGATGAATGTGTGAGGAGAAGCTGCTGAGAGCAAACAGAAGCCACCAGAAGATCAAAACTCAACGGACGTCTTTAAGTGCAGTGTCTTGAAAATTCAGATTCAGATACACACGTTTTCTTTTTCATGTTAAAATTCAAAACAAAGACACATTTTAAAAGCCACTCTTTGGGCAAATAATGTGAGATGCTGTCTGAGCTAAAGTTTTGCAGTGGGGGATGGGCGGTGATCTTTGAGTTTTGCTGACTTTTGGACAAAACATTGTTTTATTTTTTTTCTGCTCTCTGCAAGAATGGAAATAAATTTTACTATAAATTTGGTCTTTGATGTAGAGAAACACGATGATTGACAGTCGTCGTTTACATTTTATTGTTTATCAGTGGCGTTTATCTTCTGAAGTCGGCGTACTTTACTTTTATTTTCATTAAATTCTGCCACACATTAAACTTTACTACATTTAAGAGGAAAATATTGTACAACAAGCAATCTCTGAGTCACTAAAAAACTGAAAGAGTCGTCAGGAAAATGAAAAAGATTTTACCTGCCTGAAAACAGAGGAAGTGACACATCCCGTTCACAAACATGAATCTATTTGGTCAAAGGCTATAGTTGCTGTTATAAGAAAGAAATACAATATGCACTGCCATGTACTTATCTGGTAAAATGCTACTACAGCCACTGCTATAAGGAAGAGCATTGTCTGCACAGATCGCCATGGTAACAAGCTGCTACAGCGACTGGTGTTCTTGTAAAGTGCCTTGAGATAATGTATGTTGTGATTTGGGGCAATACAAATAAAATTGAACTGAATTGAACTTCCTCTAATAGAAAGGGACCCTGAACAAAAAACACTGTAGTAGATATTAAAAATCAAATAAAAATGAAGACAAAATAATAAAGATAAAATAGAAAAATGCTAAAAGAGAGGAGATGTTTGGAAGTGAGTTATAAAAGTACAAATAAAATAAATAACAAGAAATAAAGGAAAACAATTCAGAAAATAATCATAGAATAAAAAAACATACAGTAATAGTAATTAGTAGTAAAATAGCCTAAAGTATATAAATAAATAGAAAGATGAATAAATAAAAGTCAGTTAATTCTACTTGCAAAACAGGCTATAACATGACAATGTAGAGAATAAACTGTAAAATTATGAGTAATGTAAAATAAGTAACAAGCAATAAATGTGATGAGCAATGTAATACTGAGAAATATGAATATGAAACAAAAATGATAAAACATGAAAATGAGTACATATGGATCACAGTGAGTATAACTTAGTTGGTCTGTTTTGGTATGGCTGCTTAGCTAACGGGCAGTTACAATAACTTGTTGCAGCCGGGTAGGTATTATATATATGAAATATAATATATCCTTATATCCTTCTCTGAATTATTTATACCCCCAGTAGTGATTAATGCTTCTTCACCAATAAACCACAGAAAATACCCAAAATAAAAATATTTTTAAGTGCTGTAACATGAGAACAGTCTTTAGTGCAAACCTGAGGAAAAAGAGCCGGCTCTGCCCCTTCAGGTAGATGACATCCGTGTTCAGGGACCAGTCCAGTTTACTGTCCAGGTGCACACCTAGGTATTTAGGTAAGTGTGCACCACCTCAATCTCAATCCCTCCATATATATATATACATTTTTTTAAGACAATGATGTGATAATTTGGTAATTGTTAATTTCTTTAAATAAAATTTAACATGTTTATACAAAGCAGAGAAAAGCAACAAACAAACTACTATAAGATTACACAGTACCTAAAAATAATTTTTGTACTATATTATTAGTGGTTAAACAGCTTAATTCTGGTATATGATGTTCATATTTCATTTGTAAATATCAATGATTTAATATTTATATTGTTTTCATCGCCATATACAAAATACATTCACTGCCAACCCACCAACTGCTCCGCTTTCCGGTCCGGCAGGTGGCGCTAATACATCCATAAACCAGTTTATAACCGCCAGTAAATAAAATAGAGCAAGAACCCAGTCGATTTGGGTTATACCATGTTAAAGTCTACAATGTCGAAGGATTCAACCGCAGTCTACAGTCACGTGAACATCATTGATATAAACATGTGTATCCATTTTAGATCATTCATTAACAACAAAATATTTATCAAGGCCAAGAATTTAAATTTGTAAAACGATGTCTCCGTATTAAAGCTTCTTACTATCTTTTTCATACCCCTGTTTTTCTCCGGAATGGTCTCTTCCAGTTATGGTCGCAGCAGCAGCAGCGTGGTGAAGGAGAACCCGGCGTGGAAAAACGTTAGCGACACTTTCTGGACTTAATTTACGGTTAAACGTTTATAACAGCTGCGTGTAGTTTGAGGTTTGAGCTTCTCTGATTCAGACCTGTCGAAGAAAATCGCCAGAGATTCCGCCACAAGATGGTAAGACGACATTTCTGCTACGTTAAGCTAATGTTGTTAGCTAACTTCAGTCCTGTGTAGCAATTAAAAGGCAACGTACTCGTAGAAAATATTAACTACATGTCTGTTTGTTTTATAGTCACATAATTAAATTTAGACAGTGTTGATTAGAAGTATTATAACATTTCACTCCCTTTTCCTCTTGTTTTTGTAATCGATGATGGTTGGTAGAAGTAGTGCTCAGGTACCACAGTGTAGAAAAACTTACTTAGTGCATCACTTTAATGTTGCAGCAGGTAAAGGTGAGACTGAGGTGATTTACTTATTTATTTTAGCCTACAATAATACAATACAATTTACTTGTTACATTTTGTATTACAAGGTATCTGCAGGTTATAAAATCTTAGAAATTATTTAATTTAGTTTCCTTTAAAAGAAATTATGAAAAACTTCAATTTACTTAAGTCATAAGTGTCAATTTCTTCCCTCAGTCGGTGATAAGGTAATTAGAAATGTTTTTTTTCTGTCAGGAGACAGAAACAAACCTATAAACGAAAAGTGTGATTGTTGTCAGATTATATATCTATAGCATAACTGTAATTCGTGCCGTAGTAGAAGTACAGTAGCTCCAAGCAGCAGAGGTTACCTGCCTTGCTGGGGGGCACCTCACTGAGACCCGGGTTTATCCTGGGGCTCAAACCAGAGACATTCCTGTCATATCATCACCAGCGATCGCCGCTAACCGCTGCTGTTTGTCTCCTCCAGCCTCATCGAAAGAAGAAATCGTTCATTGAAAAGAAGAAGGCCGTGACCTTTCACCTCGTCCACAGAAGTCAGAGGGATCCGTTGGCTGCAGATGAGAAAGCACCGCAGCACGTCCTCCTGCCCGCCACCAAGGTACAGATCAATATGCTGTATCAATAACCTGGATATTAATGTACCTAAGTATCAATAACCAGGATATGAACACACCACAGCATCAGTAACCAGTTTTCCTACCTGTCTTGTTGACCTCGTGCGACCGCTCAGGTTTATTTTGCAGCCTCATTAATTTGAACAAACAAATGAAACGTTAGCCGGCGTTCTGTCTGACGTGACGCCATGACTTGGATTTTGATCTTCTGCAGGTGGAGGTAGAGAAGAGGCGCGAGGAGCAGAGGAACTTTGGCGTTTTCTTCGACGACGACTACAACTACCTGCAGCACCTGAAGGAGGCGTCGGGCGCCTCTGAGCTGGTGGCGGCCGGCCCCTCCTACACCGACACACGGACTGTTAAACTCCGTGATGAAGATGATGATGGTGAAAATGAGGAGGAGGGCGACGCGGACAAGGTGTGTCCTGTGAGTTCAGTCAGAGTTCCTCAGGTATTTCAGATTATCAGAACAGGTTTATTGTTTTTATAAACTCCAGTTGGGTTTCAGTGAGAGTTGGTAAAGAGAAAACAACTGACCAATAAGAAACTGGATGGCCCCATCTAGTGGTAATTTGTGACCCACACTTACATTTATAATATTTTTTTGTTTGTGTATGAACAGGCAGCCAACATCAACCTGCCGTCCTCGGTGTTCGCCTCAGAGTTTGAGGAGGACGTGGGACTTCTGAACAAAGCTGCTCCAATCTCAGGTAAACAGCTTCATCATCATCCTCATCATCATCCTCATGTACCAGAAAGTTGCTCATGAGCTCTATCGACATCTGCTGGTGACCAAGTGGAACTGCAACAACACAGATGGATTTAATCTTGTGTTTTTACCTTGTTTTTTTTTTTTTTTTTTTTTACAAAAACAAACCAACCAAAAAAATCATAAATAACACAAAATAGTTAAATAAGAAAACGAGGGCAGATTAGTTCAGCATCAGTAGACAGTGTGGTTTCCTAGCAGTGATCCACAGACCCCTCAACATGACGGCTGAGAGTCCAGTACCAGTATAATCAGGGACCAGGGACCAGATCTTGTAGAAACCCTTAATCTTCCTGTAAGCCAAATATTCCAGGTGTTATATCAGAGATAAGTTTTCACCCCCCGGCTGTCGTCGGAGGTTTGCAGTCTATCCACAGATGTCGTCAGTTTGTTGCATCGTCTTCTTCATCTGTTTGTGTTTTCCCCCCAGGACCACGTCTGGACATGGACCCCGACATCGTGGCCGCGCTCGACGAAGACTTCGACTACGACGACCCCGACAACATCCTGGACGACGACTTCATCGTCAGAGCTAACAGTGGGAGCGGAGCGGCCGACATGGGGTGACACCTGACGTCTAAATATGATTTTCTTTAGATTCTTCAAAGGGTTTTTTTTTTTATTTTTCAGGACCTGATGTTTTTTCACACAGCTGGAGAAAAAACACACAGAACTGAGTTCATTCAATTTTCACCTTATTACTGCTGGTCACTTTACATGGAGTAGAAATTATATAGACTGTTACCCCAGTTTAAACAGAAATAATTTATTGTGTGTCATCTTTCAGAATCATATTGAACCTAAACACAGACACTCGACGTGTTTTATAACCATATTCTCTCTTTTATTGAGAAATAAAATAGTTTTTAGCAGATAAATAATAAATATGAAATGTCAAAATTGCACAATGAACATTATCTTTTCTTTTCAACCACATTTGAGTTGATTCTGGTAAATTGTTACTTAAAAGAAACGTCATGTTTTGCAGCAGTACACACAGTCGGTTTAACAGGAAACTTTGATTAGATATTGGCAGATTTTTATCAATATTGTGATATAGATTCAGTCAATATCTCCAACAGTCTGCTGATAAACGGCAGACACAAAATGAAGGGAAATGTTCTGTGATGATCAGTCAGTTAATCAATGAGTCAATCCACAGGAAATGAATGTGCAACTAATTAGCTAATTGAATAATCAGTTTAGGTCGTTTTGGTCGGAGCATTTGAAGATGTGTCTTTGGTCTGTCAGAGATTTTCTGGTATTTAATAGATTCGGCTGATTAATCGATAAGGGAAATGATAATTAGTTGCAGCCCCTAACTGTGATTTCCTGTTTGTGTGTCACCTGTGACAGAGGGGACGATGATGATGACGATGATGATGATGATGATGAGTGGGAGGACACGGACGAGGAGGGCGACTTCGACTCTGAGGGAGGGGTTTCGGGCGACGAGGACCTGGGACCGGGCGGCGTCGGTCGAGAGTTTCTGTTCATGGACGAGGAGACGAAGAGTCGGTTCACAGAATACTCGATGACGTCGTCGGTGATGAGGAGGAACGAGCAGCTCTCGCTGCTGGACGACCGCTTCGAGAAGGTGAAGACAAAATACAACAAACAACTTCAGCGACAAACCGGTTTTTACATTTGCTTTTAATTTAATGTGATTGATTATGTTTTATTTGCACATATAACACATCAACATAAAACCAGAGACAGAAACAGAATAAAAGAGAAATAAAAAGGAAAAACTTGTGTGTAAATCAGATAAATACAAAGATAATAATTGACAGTCACACAAGGATCAGAAAAATTCACAAACAACAAAAGTAAAAAATAAACCTGTGACTCCAGCGACCAGTAATTACACGTCAGTTTCTCTTTCAAACTTTCTGAGGATAATGAGCTTCTGTATCTTTCCACTGATATCTGCAGGAATACTGTCTGTGTGTCGTAATATTTTACTGTTACTGTGGGTTAAAGTTTTCTAATCTAAGGCAATCTTACAAATAGAAGAAAGCATAAAATAATTAAGATATAAAATAAACAGAACAGAACAGAAGAGAGAACAAGCAATAAAAGTAAGATGGTAAAATGTTAAATGAATTATATTTCTCTACAGTCTTGTGGCTGCATCACAGAGCAGGAACAGGAACAATGTGCCAACCACCGGTGTCATCGTCTGTAGTGCACATGTGTATTAACCTTGCATGCATGTTGCCATGGTTACACCCCCCATGAGCGGCAAACTCGCAACAGACCGCGTCAGCCCCGAGGGATGGACATGGAAAAAGGATTGAGGTGTAGCAACAACAAAAAGCTGAATTCAGAATAACAAGGTCGCACACAGCAGCAGCTCAAAGGGTCAAAGCACCGAAACAACAAACATCTAAAACCACCACAGTTGTAGTCCAGCTAGCAGCAGTTGTAGTCCAGCTAGCAGCAGTTGTAGTCCAGGTAGCAGCAGTTGTAGTCCAGGTAGAAGCAGTTGTAGTCCAATTATTTTTCGGCACGTTGAAGTGAGACATCGTTACTTCTCACTGTGCGTCTGCAAAGTCACTTGTGTGTTTGTAGTGCTCCTTACATCTGTTAACAGATGTTTTTTGTTGTCGTTTTAGTTTTACGAACAGTTTGATGACGATGAGATCGGCGCTCTGGACAACGCGGAGCTGGAGGGCTACATCGAACCGGACAGCGCTCGGCTGGAGGAAGTTATAAAAGACTACTTCAAACAGAAAGAGAAGGAGTGAGTGAATGTGAAGTGGATGAACGCTGCATCAGATACTTGTTTGTAGCAGGAAACCGTCGCTTTAAATGAACCTGGTGACTGATCTGTGTCTTGTTCGTGGTTCAGGTTCCAGAGGCCCGATGACCTGGGGCCTAAAGAACTTCCTGTGGTGAGGGAGGAGGAGGAAGAAGAGGAGGAGGAAGAGGAAATGGAAACTGTTGTTATCAAGGCACCAGAAGAGAAGTGGGACTGTGAAACCATCATCAGTGAGTGTAACTTCTCTCTGCTGTGTAGTTGTGTGTTTATGAGCCGTACCTGCCACAGGAGGATGTTTTCCATCTCTTCAGGACTCAGCGTTATTTACACACGTTATCTGAAACAGATCAGTCTGTCACTCCTACTTCCTGCAGCTGCTGCACAAAGACGATTGGCTTTTCTTCATTTGGCATAAACAGAATTAACCTTGACTTGACAGGCATAATATTAAAGAGAAATAACATTTACAGTATTTATACTTATCTATTATTTATAATATTGAATATAACAATAAATGTAAATAAGTAAATATGCAGGTTTGCCCTGTGTGTTTACTTATTATATATATATATATATAAACTTCTACTTATATATATATTTATGTTTATTGTTATGCCTGTTAAGTTTCTTTTATAAGTTATGGGAGGGAGGGTTTTTGTAGAATAATAATAAATAAAGTAATAAAGCATTTAGATATAAATACAATTCCTTAAAAATCAAAGGCGTACAATCCAGTCATTATCTGCTCTGCAGCCATGCCACTATCTTGCTGTTGCTTCTGCACAGAAAATGTAAGAAAGGCGTATAAAATCTTAATATTATATTAATATTTAAGTTATTTTTTCTAAAGCCGAACATGCAAGACATCTCCGCCATGTTGGCTAGAGTTTGTTCTTTGAATATCTTTCTGTTTTAGAGCAGTTACACGTAACGGACAGAAATTAATTAGCTTGTATTTACTGTAAAAACTTCAGGGTTCATATGTAATAAAAATATTTTAGCTTCAACATCTGGAGCTGACCCCAGAACAGCCAGTGAGAAGTTAATGAACTGTAACAAGGAGGAGTGTTGTTTATTTTATCTTTAAAACTGTCTGAGTCAGTTTCAGTGTAATTGAACCTTCCTCACATTGGCATTAAATAAATCTGAACACTGTGTTTTCCCCTGTTGGCTGAGAGTTCAACTCTTTATCTGTCACATCTTGGTCAATGGTTGATAAGAAACATCCCCACAAGCACTTTGGTCCCTGGGTGTCATTTATTGGAAAGTCCCGCAGTAATAAAGCGACTGAATAAATTCCAGACCTTAGAGAGTTAAATATAACGTTTGTGTCCTGATTTCTCAGGTTTTGTGAATTTAAAAGAAGAATATTGCGGTTTCTCTTGGTGAGAAACTAAATCATAGTCTCACTTCTGATTCAACAACTGCTTTTATTTTGAAATTTAAACATTCAAGTGATAAATTTGGTTGTACTTGTGGCTGAGACGCTGGTGATGTTAACATCTGTTTGTTTTTTCTTCTCCAGGCACATACTCCAACATCTACAACAGACCCAAAGTCATTGAAGATCCACCAAAGGTTTGTATGTGACACGTGTGGAATAAGACGCACACGCTAAAAACACGGATCACAGGATGAAGGGCTTCACTGGAAGCCAGGAAGCTGCCAGGTGACACAGGAAGTCACTGTCCTGCCAGTTGTGGTGTGACAGGTTTGTGCACTTCGCACCGTCGCCACCTGTGACTCAGCCGAGGAACAAACAGCAGTGCGGAGGAGGAAGTGGCACAGAGACACAGACTGTGTAACTAAGATGGCCGACGACCTCCTGTGTTTGAGTTTACTGCAGCTGAGACAAAACATGAACCACAGCTGATGAATGTTACAGTCGGTTTTTACACTTTCACTCATTTATTACCACCTTGTAGAAAAAGCAGTTAATAATTAAATCTGGCCATTTTTTTCCTCTTTTAGCTTCAGTTGTAAACGTGTCTCCACGTCAGCGACGGTCTCAGCTGGAGGCGCCGTGTTTTCAGGTTGTACTTCAGTCCGTCCCGGTTCTTGTGAACACGATATCTCAGTGACGCCTTGAGGGAGCTTCTTCAAGTTTGGCAGAGACATTCATTTGGACTGGAGGATGAACTGATCAGAATTTGGTGGTTAAAAGGTCAAAGGTCAAGGTCTCGGTGACCTCACAAAACACATTTTTTGGCCATTACTCAAGAATTCAGACGTTAATTGATTCTGACTCGGTTTAACTCAGATGGCTTTGATAGTTTTATTGATAGTTTTACTCAATGTTCAGACCTTTAAGGACTTTTTGAAAGAGTCTAGAGACTCTTTCAAAAAGTCACAGACCTCACAGACCTCGTCACACAACATCGTGGTTATAAAATCGTCTCAGTCGTCTGAATGGACCACGTTTCAGTCACTGTTGAAAGCTTGTTCCGTTGTCGTGACACCAGAAACAGAAAAACATGTAAATGAGAAAAGCTTTATTGTGAAATCCGCTGTATTTAAAATGCTGTATATGTGAGCAGAGAGAGGAGGAGACTAGACTGAATCCATCCTCATAGTGGGTTCTGATTGGTCCTGCTTCCCTCTGTCCCCAGTCGAAGCCGATCCGTGTCTCCAGTAAGACGGGCATCCCTCTGGACGTCCTCCCCGGCAGAAGCCTGACAGCGAAGCAGGCGGAGCGTATGACGATGATCAACGACTTGGACCTTCCTCGAGTCTCCACCCAGCCCCGAAACAGAGACGAGAGCAAAGAGGAGAGGAAGGCGAGGAAGCAGGCGATCAAAGGAGAGCGCAAGGTGAGAGACGGAGAGGAGGACGCTGACGAGTTTCTCAGCTTCATTCAGATTGTAGGATGGAAAAGACGTGTCATAATGATCTTTGGGAAAAACACAAGCATCTTTAATCAGATGTTTTTATTCCTCCGTGCCGGTGAGAGTCAGTGACCCGGTAACATAAACACATGACCCCAGATCTGTTGTCACAAGAATCTCATAAAGACAAAGTCCTGCTGCTGGAAATAGTCCCAGAACAGATGCTTTATGTATTTCCTCCTGTTCATTTGATACTAACGACAGTGAGCGGCTGTTTTAGGAAATTAAAGATGAAACTTTATATTTGAAGTGTTTTTAAAAAGGAAGATCTTCATCAGGAACCAGTGGGTTTGAGCTGACAGCCACACACACATATATTTGCACCTAATTCATCTTTAAGTGCAAACTGACGAGGAAAATGTGTCAACGAATGATTGAAAACGTTTGTTGAGTGTTGAATTCTTCCTGTGTGTGTTCAGGAGAGGAGAGTGGAGAAGAAGGCCAACAAGGTGGCGTTCAAGGAAGAGAGAGTGCGACAGGAGAAGCAGATGTTGAACCTGAGGACGAACATTCAAGGCATGAAGCTTTAGTAGCGGAGAGAGGCGGCGCTCGGCCCGCACAGACTCTTAACGCGCTGATGGCGTGATCAGCGGACACGCCGCGCTTCACCTCAGTGCAGCTGACGGGACAACAAACATCCCCAGGCATGAGCGGGCTGACGAGCTGCGGGTCTTTTCTTCAAAGACAGTTAATTTAACTTTTAATAAAAGGAGAAATCCAGTTTATCGACAGTAAACCAGCTCAGACCATGTTGCTGTGACAGTTTGAAACCCAGGAACTTTGGTACAAGCTGAAATGTTTCTAATGAAAAGCTCTTTTCAGATCCTGATTTAAGATCTAGTTTATCAACGTTACACCGTCTTTAAACCACAGATAAAGGAAGAGGTGAGAAAATTAAACCCACTCTCTCGTCTGTACGTGAATAACGAGTCAACAGCTGCACAAAGATACAAAATCCACCTATAAGCTCCAATTATACGACATGTTTTTATAATCCACACTAAAACCAAAAGGCTGTTTGTTGTTTTTATCCTTGCGTTAGATAATTATACTTCAGATTAAACAAACGAGTGTTAATTAGTGAACTTCAGAGGGGCTGGTAGGTGGATTTCATTCCCTTTGCACAGATGCAGGCCAGCTGTTTCCAGGCTTTGTGCTAAGCTAAGCTAAGCTAACCGGCTGCTGGTGGTATCAATCTTCTCATTTAACAGTCAGTGTGAATTTCCAAAAAAACATTTGAAAAGGTTTGTAGAAAAAAAAAAGGAAAAAAAAAAAGTTCATATTTTTCAAAATAAAATATTCAGAAAAATGTTGTTTTGGTTTCTGTATTGAGACCCAGATATTACACCCCGTTCTGCAAACAGGAAATATCAAGTTTGTTCATGTGTCTTTATTAAAAACTCCTCAGTGTGAGATTTCACGTTGGTGTCATCAGGCTGCACACAGGAGAGCTGATTGGTCCGACTGGTTCTGTGTCTCCACGCCGGCGACAGTCAGAGCGGCAGCCATATTGTTTTCAGGTTGTCCGTCTGTCCGATTTCTCAGTGACGCCTTGAAGGAGCTTCTTCAAATTTGGCACAAACATTCAGTCGGGCTCAGTGATGAACTGATTAGATTTTGATGGCTAAAGGTCAAAAGGTCACGGTGACGTTGCGTTCTTGTGAATGCGATATATCAGGATACACTCTCCCAAATTCATTCACCAAGTACGACACAGTTGGACTCAAATGTACGGTGGCCCTGAAGCTCAACGCACTGCAACTGAAGAAAACACATGCAAATAAACAAACGTGCTACAAATTCAGTCCTACAACACAAAGTGTGTGTGTGTCTCTCGCTCCAGAAAAAGCTTTATTAGCATGAACAAGAACATGTTTCTGCCAAAGCAGTTTACAGATTATAATAATACACATATAATGCAATAATAATTAAACGTTGAATATTGACGCAGATTTAGATTTTAAGATAAATACATTTATGTACAATCATTTAACATCATACAGTCTCTGTCTGTCTGTCTCTGTCTCTCTCTCTCTGTCTGTCTCTCTCTCTCCCTCCCTGACTTTCCTGTCTGTCTCTCTGTGTTATCTTACGTTGCTGTGCGTTGAAGTGATAACATTTTATATCCAACTTCACTGTGACAGCAGAACAGTGTAAAAACACTGTAACTCAGGAAGGAGAGAGAGAGTTCGACCACATGTCCTGCGACTTGGAGGAAACAACCAGAGGACGGTGATTCTAGTTGATCTGAGATCGACTTTCCCTCCTCATGTAAACAAGCATCAGTTGACAGAGGAAGATTTTATATTTATATTTTATTGTAAAAATCACTTCTGGCGTTGGTAAAATAATCTGACATTCTTGGTCACTGTGTTTATTCAGTGTAAACGTGTAAAAAGTATAAAGCCATTTGGTGTTTTTTTGGTGTTTAAACCTAAAAAAAAAAACAATTTTATTGTGATTGATAATTGAACAAAATGCAGTTTCATAAAAAAAATGGATTAAAAAAAAATGAAAAAAACAGCATTAAAAATATGAGCAGCCCTGAAGTTTCCAACAAATCCAACCCTGTGAGGCAAAGCAGAAAAACCCGCTCAGTGATCAGGCCAGTTCAGCAGGTCGCAGGTTTCTACGAGGCGTGGAGCTGTGGGTGAGACTGGAGTGTTTATGACGCTGCAGGGAGTTTAAAGTCCAGGAGGTAAAAGGTGCTCAGCTTCATTTTACGACTTCAACAACATGTACGAGTCTTAAAGCGACAGTTCAAACTAATGCCAGTTAAAACATTTTCTTATTCACCTCTAGTGTCGTGTAGATCCTTTGGGTTTTTGTTTGTCTGAGTTTTGAGATCTTTGTCTCGATCTCGTTTCCACCTCAACAACCGAGTTTAATCAGAATCTGTTTGCATAAACACATTTACAGTTTTCTCTGGAACTACTTTCTACTGAAAAAATAGTCCCTCTGAAAACAGTCTGCTCTGTGTCCAACATTATTTTATAAGTCAAGTCTGTGACCATCAGAACCACAGCAACAGTCTGTGTCAACATGGTGCCAGAGATCGTAAACCAAGGCTAATAAAAACCAAACCATCTACATGATTAAATGCCACTTGAAACAAGTGAGAAAATGTATTTAGTGTGTATGTTTTTTTTGGGTGAACTGTCCATTTAAAAAACTGTACAGAAGACGGATTAAAATACATAAACAACTGCCAGTTTGAGCCGGTACGGGAAAATAAGATAAAGAACCAACAAAGTCATTATACAACTTCAAATGAAAACGTCCCTGTGGGGTTATGAAGAGGTCCGGCGACCTGCCTGAGGTGACTGACAGATCACCGCTTTCTTTCCCTGAGACAAACAGCAGCGTCAACAGCTTCTTTACAAACACCTCAAAAGGGACAGTTGGGGTTATTTGACGAGACAGGTGGTCATGCGTTGTCATGGTGATACCTGCAGTAGATTCAGAGCCGCACGCTGCCAGTATTGAGGAGCAGCAGGAGCACCGGTACACTAGCGGGGCCGTCAGAAGAAACACGTTTTAAGACACTTTTAAAAAAATAAAAAACGCCCAGCGAAACGATCCAATATCTGTTTAAATGAAACGTCATGAGGAATATTTCCAGCCATCTATCTTATCTCTCTCTCTCCTGTATTATGCACGTCAGCTGAGTGAGTCAGAAAGCGGCGTAACACAGTGCGATGCGCTTGTGGTGTAGGAATACGGTTGAAAAAATGTTTACATTTAAACGGATATTGGATTGTTCCGGTGGGCGGTTTAAAAACGTGTCTAAAACACGTTTTTCCGGCTGGCTCCGCCCACACATCATCGCGAGCTGAACAGAATCCGCTGCAGGTAACACACCGACTCTGCGGGACTTCCTCACACAACCCCACGTCAAATAACTCGAACTGTCCCTTTAAAAAGGTTGAATAAATGTGGCTTAGGTGAAAGGTCGTGCTCCACGTTGTTCAGGAGGAGTGTGTGCAGGTCAGCGACCCGTGTTCATCCACTGCTCCAGCTCCTCTCGGTGCACAGAGCCGGGCGTTAGTCCCAAACCAAGACTCTGTCAGCTGTTTCATCTCTGGGTGTAAACCACGTTCACCTGTTCGTCACCTGTGTCAGGTATATTGTGTGCGCAGTCATATGCTCCCACCCTCACTTCCCATTCCTCCTCCTCCTCCTCCTCTATCATAACACACTCTGTTTTCACAGAGTCGTCTGCAGAGTCCTCGTCTGCTGTATCCGGCTCCTGGCTGCTGTCCTCCAGAAGGTCTCCGCCCCCGTATCCCGCTGTCAGTTGGTCTGATCCGTTGCTCCTGCCGCCGCCGCCGCAGCCGCCGCCGCCCCGGTGGTCCTCTGGTGTACCGCCCTCCTCCTCTGAGCTGTATGAGTTGTCCTCGACCACCAGTGGAGAAATGTTTTCTTCGTTGGTCTTAAAGACGTACCTCTTGTCAGAGGGGATAAACTTCTGAGGAGACAGGGACAGAGAACAGCCGTCACAAAGATGGAAAACAGCAGAATCACTATTGATTATTTTATTTTTCTCCAATCTGACATCTTACCAGGAATGTGGGGTGAATGGATTTCTCATTCAGATAGGCCCTCACTTTATAGATGGCAATTGCTGCCAAAATGATGATGATGATAAAAACACACAGCAGTATGGTGAGCGTTACCATGTGAACCTCTGCAATGAAAGAAAAAAAATATTGAGCAAAGGTGTTCTTTTATTTTATTTTATTTTAGTTTAAAGTCATTCTTGTGCCTTTGTTTGACAGGACGGTGCAGAGTGACACGCAGCAAAGAGTCTGGGGCCGACGGCACAAAACACCTTTCGATTCCTACGTTATTTCTTTAATTCACATTTTAAAGGGTTCTTGCATAAAAACATAAAACCCAAGTGTTTTATATCACAAGTTTCAGAACTATCTCAGCTCTTTCTATAATGAGGCTTCTTCCTGTCGTAGAGCAAACAGATGAAAGCTTGAAGAAATGTTGTGAAATGTTTTCTGCAGAATCTATAGGTTCATACAAATACAGCAATATGTGAGTAAAACAGTGGATAATAAATGCCTACAGTGTTGTTTAGAGGCTGAGTCACGTATGATCTCACAAGAAAATGAAAGTTTCTACGCAGTGCTGTTGCAAAGATATCAATAGGAATGGATAATTAATGAATTAATAGAAATAATAATAACTAATAGAAATAAATTAATAGAAACATCTGTCAACCTCAGAGGGTTAAAGTCCTTAAAATAAAAACACATAAACAAACACCCTTAAGACTTCTCCTTAAAATGTTCACTTCAGTCGCAAAGATTTTCTCCTCATCTTGGTCTTAAACTTACAGACGTGTTTAAAGTCAGTTAAAAACAAACTGACGGTTCCTCTGCCGGATCTTAACTGCAACATGAGTTTATTGATCCTACATCACAGAGCTGATCACCAGTCAGTTCAGTGATTATCTACAACTGCTCATTTTTCTTCCTCTACCCTTTATGTGTCCACTAACTACTACTTCCTGTTAATAGATGTGTCCTTTCCGTTCATTTGCATGTTCAGACATGCACGTTGATGCACCACGCAGGTTACTGAAACCCTCCCAGTCCAGACTTACCAGCTGATTCAGTGACGCAGACGGGGGACGTCTGTCTGAACTTGACAGAATTTATAAAATTCCTGTCAAACAGCTCTCCGTCCAGCGAGACACACTCGTCCACACCCTCAGGGAATGAGAAATCATATCTGCAAATCGTATTTTCCAGTCTGCAATCTGCAGTCCCCAGTTTTCCCTGAAGGTCACACAACACGGACAATTAATATCACACACAATAATATTATTATGATACTGATTACTATTACTGAGCATATTCAGTCTCCCCAGAGGATGAATCTAGGGCTGAATCAATTAGTCAATTAAGTAATTATTTCATGGACAGAGAATTTATTTGCTGATTGTCTCAGTTTAATTTTCAGGTCCCCGTCCCAGTCAAGCTGTGAACTCGATGTGGATGCTCGGAGGTTACTGGACTTACTGTGATGTTTAAGACTGTGAACCTGAAGACAACATTGTTCTGCTTGGTGGCCGTCTGCAGCTCTTTGTAGAAGTGGACGGGATTGTAGAAACTGACTGTGGCTCCGGAGCCGCCTTCAGTCAGACTCACAGGAGGGAAATCTAATTCACCTGCACAGAGAGCTCAAAGTTTTATCTCAGACATTTTAAAACTCAAACCTCCAACTTGAATTAGACTCCAGAACATTAGAATAACCACGTTTGCCTCTACACGACTTACATTTTACATGAGCCGGCTTGACCTCATTAAAGCTGAGCGACTGAGACTTGGCCGGCGCGGACTTCCTGCCTCCCTGTACGGCCGTGACGTTGACAGAGTAGTAGCCTTCGTAGCGCTGCTCAGATTCCCAGATGAAAGGGCTCAGATCATACTGATGGTCTGTGGTTTCATTCTTCTGGCGCCTTCAATGACAAGAAAGAAACAGCAGGTTGATCCTACAAGTGACGACACACTGATACAAAGATAATGAAGAATCCGTCGAACCCACCACAGACTGGGACTGTTGTATTAGACTCATTGGTTTTAGCTTTAATTATGTTGTTTTTTTTGTTGGTTTGTTTTGGAGGATTTTAAAAATTGTCATATTATTGTATTTTATTTTTCATGTATAAGTGATGTTGCGGTTCAAGGTTTTATTTGTCACATGCCAAAGAACAATGTACAGAAAGCAAAGCAGTGAAATGAGGGTTGGACTTGGCAGCAGGAAACTGCAAAAACAAAAATTGATATTTTCAAATATATTGCATTTGGCGACAAGATATTCGTTACCATTAAATATCAGCCCAAACCTATTTTGAAGCTGTCATTACTAAAACAGTCCATGATCATAATTATAATCTATTAATTCACATTTTGTGCTCTTTTCTATTTCGACTTATTATTATTTACAGCACTTTAACACTTTACAGACATTTAACAAACTGCAAATTAAATATAGATTAAAAAAAGATAAACAACTGAAATATGAATGAATAATTTGATGTGTCTTACCCCTCAGATGATATGATGAGCACCTCGAAGCTGGTTTGTGGTTGCTGTTCGCTGTATTCCCACCTGACTGTGGTTTTCAGATTCTGGCAGCTCAAAGTCACGTTTGTTGGAGAAGGAACTACAACTAGGAAACAAGAGAAGACCCGTGAATAAACAGTACGCAGGTATTATTCAAACCGATAATGATCAGCATCATAACCTTAAACCACGAGACACTGTGACATTTTCTAAACTAAACACTGATTATTCAAGATGTCAGATGTATTGATAATGAAAATATGTTGATTGAGGCCGGACAGCTCGGTCAAATAATACGATGTTTTCTGATTAAAATACTTGACACAGAGAAAATGGAAAACAACTAAAACGTCTTTTCAAACCTCATGTTATTTTACTTGGTTAATATTATAGCGCTTATTTGGTTAGTATTTTACTGTTGCATGGCTTTTGAATGTTTATTTGTATTGTGTTTCATTAGATTCCTGTTTAAGACCCTGAAGGTGAAGAAAGAGACAGTGGTGGCATGAATGAAGTGAGTGGAAGTAATTTATTATTATCGTTAGTGCTGCCATTTCAAGTTGATATGTAATTGTACTTATTTTGTCTTTAAGTATTTCAACCGTCGATCTGAGCTTGTTGAATTGTTGGAACAGCTTCAGGATCCTGTGTTTAAATGTTCAGATGTTCAGTGAGCCAACTCCACCTCCATGGTAGTTTCTTCATTAGTGACTGATTAAATGATAAGGGCTCAGATGATGTGGAATAACCCTGAGGCTTTCAGAGTGACTCAGTAAGAAAGAAAAACATGATGATGGAGGCTTTTTTTTTTTTTTTTTAAATTTTATAAGTATTTGACTCATTTTCTTTAAGTGATATCACGACCAGATACTGTGAACCCAATAAACTCCACCTTCACCTAGGCTGACTCACAAAAAGCCACAAAAGCGACGCTGCTAAATATAAACCCTGCAGGAACAAACAACATAGATTTGCGATCATGGGGAAGGCGTGTGAGCCTTCCACTGAGCACGCCCTTGTTTGTGATGTGGGACAAAGGGTGAAGCATATGTTTGACACCACGGCATTATCAGTGTGGTGAGAGTTTGTTGGCAGCAACCGGGAAACGAATGCAGGTGGATAAAAAACAGAACTCTGGTTGTTCAGCATTCCAGCAGCCATCAGCCCTCTGTTACTGCCTCACCTGTTTTTAAAAGGACGCAGACATGACTGTTCATCAAAGAGCCTCATAAGATGGTTAACGTAGACAACAAGAGTTGTTTTGAAAAAAACAGCAGAGAGCCGATTCCGAGTCCAGGGAACCAAGATGAAATAACTGATCACTGTTCAGGCAGAAAAGGTGTGAAAAGTGTCTCCATACTGATGACACCTGGTGCTCAAACACCAGCTGTAAACATCACTTCATCCGGTTGGCTGGATGGCTGGTTAATTGGTTGGTTGGTTGGTTAATTGGTTGGTTTATTGGGTGGTTGGCTGTTTGGTTGGCTAGTTAATTGGTTGGCTGGTTGGTTAATTGGTTGGATGGTTGGTTGGTTGGTTGGTTGGTTGGTTGGTTGGTTGGTTGGTTGGTTGGCTGGTTGGTTGGTTGGTTGGTTGGTTAATTGGTTGGATGGTTGGTTGGTTGGTTGGTTGGTTGGCTGGTTGGTTGGTTGGTTGTTTGGTTAATTGGTTAGATGGTTGGCTGGCTGGTTAATTGGTTGGTTGGCTGGTTAATTGGTTGGTTAATTGGTTGGATGGTTGGTTGGTTGGTTGGCTGGTTGGTTAATTGGTTAGATGGTTGGCTGGCTGGTTAATTTGTTTGGTTAATTGGTTGGATGGTTGGTTGGTTGGTTGGTTGTTTGGTTGGCTGGCTGGTTAATCGGTTGGTTGGTCTAAAATATCACTGTAAGCTGTTACATTAAGATTTCCTGTTAACTGGACATGTGTCCACATACTTTTGACCATGTGGTGTGCAGGTATATCCTTACTATAACTTTCCACAGGTGTTTCATTTAAGTTGAGCTTCCTGAATATAGCAGTCTGATTAATCTGAAATACACCGTGTCAGCTGGTGTAAGTCGTTTATCATGAGCTCTTATCTAATAAACTTGATTGAGGCTGAAGATAAATAGGACTTTGCCTTTCTTTGGAATCTGTAAACACATCGAAATGTTCCTCGTTTTGACCTTTGCTCTTTGATTGGGGAGTTATCACAGAGTCTGTAAAGGGTAAGAAACTCCAGAGCATGCGGCGGCTCAGAGACGAGCAGGGAAATGAGAACTCAGACAATGCTCATCTCCAGACAAGAGAATCTTTTTGTTTTTTCCCCAACATGTAGTAATACCTCCTGTGAAGTCTGACCACACAGAAACCACATCACATCTACATCTACCCAGAAAGAGGCAGGAACATCCAGAAACTCTCCACATCCTTTTTAAAATAATGAAGTGAGAAAGATGCACGAGTCAGCTGCTCAGCAGTGATTTAAACTCCAGGTTCAGAGACACAGAAACACTGTCTGGCTACTTATTAAAGTGAAGATAACCACAGATGGACCCTGAACATCTATAACTCTCCTCAGATGTTTTACAAGCATCACAGTATCACACAGATTCCTCCACCCACAAGTCTACAGCTGTCCCAGAGTTTGACCTCTAATGTAATCGACCAATACATTTGTTTCATTTCTCCTTTCATGTTTCCAACAGTCAAGCAAAGACAAAGAATTCAGTTTGTGATATGATGAAACAGATAAAAGCAGCAGATCCTCACATTTCAGAGGAGTAATGTCTCCACGGGTTAAAACCTTAGAGTCGTGTTTTTTCTGTCTGTGTCTGAAACATGTGAAACCGTTTCTGTTTAATCTGGTGGAAAATCCTCCAGCAGGACGAGGAACTTGTGATTTTGTTTCATGGTGCAGATCCAGAAATTCTTTAAAGAAGTTTTGAAATTGTTAAACAAAAATTTAAGAAAGATTTTGAATACTCTCCAATAAACTAATGCACGTGTTTGGATTAAAAACATTCTGCCTCATGTGTCTGACACTTCTGTTCAAATGAAGTTACAGGTTTTGCAGCTTTGATAAAGGTAAAATAACGGCTCAAGCATTCTGAATTTTTCTGCTAATTGTTTTAATGTGGAACCACAGTTTCGTGAATATAAACTGTGTGTTTCTGTGTGTTTCTGTGCTTCTTCCTGCACACAGGTCTCACAGAGCCTGAAACTACCTGTTTAAATAAAGAAAAATGTTAAAATTTGCTGAAATATTCCAGCAGTAATCAGATTCTGTGATATGGAATGAATGAATGAATGAATGAATGAATGAATGAATGAATAAATGAATGAATAATGTTCTCCTACAGATACAACCTGAATCTGTGCCAATGGCAGAGCCTATGAGACCTGATGGGGGGGTGGGGGGTGGGTGGATGAGGTCACCTGAGAGGGGGAGGGGCCACAGGTTGTACTCTCCTGTTGTTCTCTCAAACTATCCTCATGGCCTCCACACCGTCTGTGTGTTCAGTTTGGTTTGGGCTTGCTTCTATAGACAACAACAGCCACCCACTCACATACTTTAATTCATCCATACCTACGTCACAGACGGAAGCTGTTGTGAACTCTGTGTTGCAACATGAGTTAAAGTTCATTTCAAATTTTACTTTTTAAAAAAAAAAAATCAATATTATTGGAAACGAACACAAAACAACCTAATATTTTCTTTTTATATTCATGTTTTAGCTAAACAAATATTCTACTGGTGAAATGTATTTTCCCCCATTCATATTGCACATTGTGCATATTTGTATTATTTTTTATATATATCTTTTATAATATTTTTTCACATTTTATTATAAATATTTTATTGGAAATAAATTCTATTTCTATTTCTATTTCTTCTTCTTTCTATGTTTATTGTTATTCACTTAAACACCAACGCAAACTCCTCCTATGTGAAAACCTCCTGGGCAATAAACCGGACTCTGATTCTGATTTATGCTACATTATACTTTTATTCCACTACATTTCAGAGCGAAATATTGAACTTTTTTTATTCCTCAACATAATATGTTTGTATCATATGATACAATACTACATTATTTATCTCCCCAATAGTAAATAATTCAATTTTGTCAAAGACTAAAGTGTAAAATTGACTCCACTTTGACAAAATACAATAATAATATACTCTTACATATAATGAAAAAAACATATTATTCTATAATAATGTAAAGGATCCATTCAGCAAAATTTACCTGATAACACTTTGACTTAGTAACATTTTGTATTCATGACTTTTACTTGTATTGGAGGATTTTAGACTATGATACAAGGATCTGAGAACTTCTTCCACCGCTGCCAACATGTTCTGTAATATGTCTTATAATAAAAGTATTAAAGTTGAATTTACTCACCAATCACAGCAGAAACTGCGCAGACCAGGAGAAGCTGGGCGGTGAAGGCGCCGTGCAGCCGCCGCATGATTTCAGGCTTCCTCACCGTCCGTCCAGCACCAGCTCGGGTCCGGCTTCCCTCTCAACACTCAGAGGCCGACGTTTAATGAATAAAAACACAGCGAGCCTTCATCACAACGCCCAAGTTTTCGTAATGACACGGGGAATTTTTTTTTCAAGTTCCCGGTTCTTGTTCAATGGTTCCACAGAAAACTCTCGGTCAGTGATTAGTCACACACATAATGATCCTCCTTCCTTCCTTCCTTCTGTATGTGTGTCTGTGTGTGTGTGTGTAATGAGAGTCAGAGTAGACAAACGACAGGTAAATCAACCTGTTTATCTGGTAAACACCTGGATGATGTGAGCGGATACAGCAAACACTACCTTTTTTTCTTTTCAAAATAAAGGTTTAAAAGGTTTTAAATATTTGATGGAGAGGAAAATTTAGAGGTGGATAAATAAACAAGTAGATAAATACAAGGATATGCTAAATGTAAAATAATAAGAACATATGTTAAAAAAAAAGCGAGGAATATAAAAACAAATCCATAAATAATACATAATACAACATACTTGTTTTTTTTTATTGTTTTTTAAATGATTTATTATTTCACCACCTGAATACAGGCTAATTTAGATAGATAGATAGATAGATAGAAAGATAGATAGATAGATAGATAGATAATATTAATAATAATAATTATTATTATTATTATAAAAAGGTTCCGGTTAAATCCCGCTAAATGGGACATCAATGCCACCCACTGTCGTAAATCTGCATCCGCATTACGGAGCAAAGCAGTTATGGCAAAGGATTATGGGTAACAGTCAAAGCGACGGAGGATTTGCTGCGAGCTAATGAGTCTGAGTAGCTGTGGACAAAATAATGTTTATAAGTCTGAAAAGTACGTGAAAATTGAGCTGGCTTGGTCAGGGTGAATATTATTAGTTTTATATTAAATTTCGCCATGGTTTTATTAAGTCAACTATTATTTTTTATGTGTTTTACTGCCGGAAAATAAATCCCTCCACTTAAGCTAGCTAACGTTAACGTAATACGTAATAACGTCTTTTCAGACAGAGCATGCGCAGTGACCATTCTACTCTGTTGTCATGAATTAAGGTATATTACAGTCACTCTACAGAGTATGGTAATATTTTGTGTTTTATAATATAATGAAGTCACATTGTTATAGAATGAAGAAAACAACAAAAAAAAAAACGTAACAGTCTGTTTGAGAAATATTAGTGATTATACATTTGTTCATATTTTATATTATTTTTATTGTATTTTGTATTATTTTATATTTCTGCACTTTTTCTTTGTGGATTTGGAATATTGCTGATGTCCACAAATCGTGTGCGGTTCTGTGTCCCACACTTCAGGTAGATGGGACAGGTGATGTCCTTCTGAAAGGCAAGACAAAGGACCATGATATCTGTGTCCTCAGCTGTGACGATGACTGCTTTTGAGCCTTGTGTTTGTGGCATCCGATGCATGCAGGAGCAGGCGTGTGTCAGCTTCTTCATGTGTGGAGTGCAGCTCTACTACTTCTTCACACCCATCATCTGTCAACCTGTAGCAGGTTTCCTCACAGGTAACGTACAACACCTTGCCATGCAGCCCATCTCTGTATTGTGGGAGTTTCCACTCTTCCACCAGAAACTTGATGAGACTGGTCTTGTTGGAAAGACTGCACAGAAAAGTTCTCCACTGCTGTACATGGTGTCCCCCTGCCAGGTTCTTGTACTGGACAGTTCAGTCGTTCAGCATCTTTAATTGAAGTTTGAAGGTGGAGCCCAGTTGAACAGAGAAGCCTCCTGTCATGAATTCTGTGTACACATCTGGGTGTGTGATGGACAGCTGAGACATCTGGGCGTAGTAGTAGGGGAGGTAGCGTGCGTAGTTCATCCTGTCATATGCAAAGCACCATGGGATCTTTGCTCGAATGCTTGCCAAGTGTAGCATCCAGTCTCCCTCTCTGGATGCTCGGATGAGCCCCAGCAAAATTTCGACCATGTCCAAATAGGACATCCAGAAGCTTGAGAGGTTGCCGTTTCCACCACTGAGGAACTTGCGGTAGACTTCAAACAGTTCCATGATACGTGTACAAGAGCTTGTGTAGTCGCACTGCCCTGTTGTACTTGCGGCCATCCATAACACCAGCAATGGAGCCTTCTGCAATTATGCCAGACTGAATGCACAGGTCTCCTAGTCCAGCATCTTTGAAACGCTTTCCTATTATTGCCAGCAGTGTGCAGATGGTGTGAAATTCCCCAAGCCTGATGATGATATTCTGGAACTTGTGAGCATGTTTCCATGTGATCTCAACAGCCTTTGCATACAGGGTTTGGTCAAAGACACAGACAATTTTTGTCAGGCCTAAGCACCTCATGATGCTTATTGACTGGTTAAGCACCTCATTGACAGTAGACATTTGTGTCGCTGGAGCATTGATGGTAGGCAGATAGCCTACATTGTCAGGGATGACTGTCATATCACTGCGAGTCAGGATGTTGAAGCTCAATTGGAGACAGCCTCTGTGATAGCCTAATTGGCTTACACGCCTTCACTGGCTGTGACACTGTCATTGCATTCGCTGGCCGGGGGAAGCTGAATGCCCTGAAGATAGTGAAGAAGGACACTTCCTACCAAGAAACCTTCAGTGGACTTGGGCAGTCATTGATTGAGGAGCTGTTCCAGAGAATTGAGGAGTTTACATGCCACATGTATGCTGCTAACAGCAGCACTGGTGAGGTGAACCAACTGCGCTACCAGCTCTTCTGTGCCAAAAGGGGAGAGGTCGAGTCCAGTCAGCTGCCACCATGTAGAGACTGTCTCTTCCTGCATGTTGAACGAGCCAATTATCAGGCAGCCATTTGGAAGAGCAGTCTGCAGGCTAACCCTGTGGTGCCAAGTCCTACAGAGCATGGATGGAAAGAAGATGAGGACAAGCTGGCCATTTACTGGATGCGCTCCCCACCTGCCCCAGATGTAGTCTTGGAACTGCTAACATGCAAATGTGTGCGTTCATGCAAAATGCCAAGCTGCACGTGCTTATCAAATGGACTGGCATGCACAGACATGTGCAAGTTACAGACTTGCAGCAACCAAAAACTGCAGGATGATCCAGAATCCGACTTCGAACTCAGTGGGTCAGATGACGAGAGAGACGAGCAGTTTGAGTGACATTATGTAATGATTCTGTACTTGGTCACTCTACATACAGAACTTGATAGCCTAACTATAATCAGATCTTGACATATTCCCATTAATAACAAAGTTCATTTTGTTTACATTATTGTTATGTTTATAATGTTGTTTATAAAACTCAGTTGGTTCCTTATCTCTATTTGCATGATAAAGACCAGTGGCTGTCTAGTTATAGTTTCATAGGAGCCTAATGATGCCCTTCTAGTTTAAGGCTCACAATCACCCCTGACAATGAAAGAGTATAGGCATATTATACATTTCCTGAATCCTTATGGTCCTGTGAGTATTCCAGTCTTTGTATTTTGTGTTTCTGTTGTGGCACAGGGCTAAAAGATAGTATATCATTTAGGCGAAAATTGTGCAAAAATGTGTGTTGTGTATAGTTTAAAGAGCTACAGTGACCTCTATGTTGGTCAGAAAGATTCACATCTTAGCTTGACTGAAAGCTTAAAAGGTCCCCTTTAAAATGATACCAAAGACAATATTGTGAAACATTGACAGATGTCCTGTACATGAGTCTAAACCAGGATATGCACCAGTGTCTAAAATGTAATTTTCTGAAGGGGGTGGGTAACTTCATGAGCTGATAACTATGATACAGCTGCCACTCAGGAAGGGTAATCATACCAAAATATCATCTACAGACATAGATCTTAAGGAAGTTTGGTCACCTTGAGTGGTACCGATATCTGGTCTGGCCCATGGACTATATGATCACTTTGTGCAGAGTGTAGATTTTTTGGGGATGTTGATATTGTGGTAAATCTAAAAAGTGACAGAGGATTTGCCAGAAGACAGAGAACGCGCTGTGTGTCCACAGGAGATGACTCATTCTCTTCTATTGTTCTGTCATAAATGCAGATGAATGCTGATGAGGAATAAACCTGCTGTTACCACACACCCGACCAGCTCTGGCGACTTCATCTCTCGAAGGTCACAGATAGGAAGTAGATCGACGTACCAGGTATTTTGATGTGTAGCTATGGAGTTTTAATATTAATCGATATGCACTTTAATCTGTGTGTTTTTAAGATTCATCATGTTTCCCTGCAGAGCATCAGATCTCCATTAGCTGCTCTTGCTGTGGAATTTTTTTGTTTGGTTTTGGTTTATTTCAGTTATTTTTTTCTTTTGTTTATCCAGCCTTGGCAAGTGAGCCGGTATAGCAGGCAAAAAGACGTGGGTATTGCCCTTTGGATGGACTAGTTTTCATTTCTTCTTTTCTTTATTTGTTTGTTTGTATTTTTAGAAAACGGTTTACTTCCCCAACTGTGGTTAAACTTCGCTCATGTCAAATCCCAGTCGTCAGTCAGGCCAGGCTGAAGGTTTGACACGGGTTGTTCCTTAAATAATGTGTCACTGTGGAACGTGTTAATTCAATAAAGTGTGCACAAGTTAGCATTGTAGTGGATACTAGTTTGTAGTGGAGCTTAACCCCTGTCCTGTCGGTTTTAGCTGGGAACTCACAGAGGAGGTGGAGCTGGCTGAGGATGAATTGTAAATTGTACTTATGTGTTAAGTAACTGTAAGCTTTACCTCCTGGGTTGTCCTTTCTTACCTGGATACCTGTAGTGGGTGAAACAGATTTTTTCATTTTAAGCTTTTATTGTGAAGGCAATATCCTTTTTTTTATTATACACCCAGCTTCATGACCTTGGAGGAAGCTGAAGGAATTTGAATTTACAAATATGGTTTGTGGGCTGGTTCAGCGTATTGTAGTGGGTGTGGCTAGTTTGTATGGGGGCGTGGTTTGTAGGCTCTTCAGGGCTGCAGCTGGTCGATCAGCCTATAAAGGAGATCTGGTCTTTGTCGCCACCTACAGTTCACACCGTGATATGACATTTGTATTGTTTTGACAGCTGTGGCTCAATTCATGTGTTTTAATGTGTTTTTTTAATCTTATATAAAGCATGTTGAATTGCCTTATTGTTGAAAGGTGCTATACAAATAAACTCATCTTTCCTTGCCCAATATGACCATTTGATACAGTGTACACAACAGGTGTTCAGTTGTAATTCCTAAAGCGTAAAGTCAAGTCTTAATAATT